GTGGTGGCCTCTGATTCTGTCTTTGAATTGTTGCAAGGCTAGGTGGATAGCCCTGAGTTCTAGCCAGTTGATGTTGTTTCTCAGATCCGTGGCGGACCAACGTCCCTGTACAAACTGGGAGTCCAGATGGGCTCCCCAACCATACAGACTGGCGTCTGTAGTGATGGTAACTCTGACTGGTTCCTTGAAGGGTGACCCCTTGGTCACGGCCCGAGAGCACCACCAGCGTAGCGCCCTGCGGATTTGTGCCGTGACCCTGACTAGGTGGTTGGATGCGCTGGTGTTCTGCCGTTGGTAAGGGAGCAGAAACCACTGTAGTTCCCGTAGGTGGAGCCTGGCCCAGGGTACAATGGCTATGGCCGATACCATCTTGCCCAATAATTGGGAAAGTGTTAGTATCGGAACTGAACGTTGCCTGTGAACCCAGCGAGCCAGTTCCCTGATGCCGGCCACCCGGTCTTGGGAGAGATAGACCATACAGTTGGTTGTGTCTATCATGGCCCCCAGATGCAGCAGCCTGGACGAGGGAACTGTCTGGCTCTTCTGAAAGTTTACTGAGAATCCGTGTAATTGGAGGACGCGAATGACGGTCCTTACGTCCGCCTGAGCTGTCTGTAGGGATGTTGCTTGGATTAGTATGTCGTCTAGGTAACATTGGACGCGTATTGGGATTTTTCTCAGTTTGGCGGCTACCGCTGCTAGTATCTTGGTAAATACCCTGGGTGCCGAAGATAGACCGAAGGGGAGAGCTCTGTATTGGAAGTGTTTTCCCCCGTAACAGAAACGTAGGAACCGGCGGTGGTTTGGGTGGATGGGGATGTGAAGGTAGGCTTCCGTGAGGTCTATCGATGCCAGGAAGTCTCCTTCTCTGATGCTTCCCAGGATGGACTGAAGGGATTGCATCTTGAATTTTTTGTATGTGATGTAGCGGTTGAGGTTTTTTAGATCCAGGATTGCCCTCCATCCTCCTGAAGTCTTTGGAACCACGAAGAGGATGGAGTAAAATCCTCTGCCTCTGTATTCCGCTGGGACCGGTTCTATGGCTTGAATGTCCAACAGGTGTTGGATGGCCTCCTGCATGAGTTTGTGTTTGGTGGGGTTCCTGGAGACCGAGCAGTTGATGAGTCGGTCTGGGGGTGTGACCAGGAACTCCAGGGACAGCCCGGACTGGATGGTTTGTAGTACCCAGTTGTCCGTGGAGGTCTGCTCCCACTGGTGGAAGAAGTGAGCTAGTCTTCCTCCAATGGGTAGGTCTATGTAGGAGTCATTTTGTCTTCCGGTACGGACGACCCGTTCCACGAAAGGGTCGTCTCGACTGGTTTTGTTGTCTGGGCTGGAACCCCGGTCTGTCGTAGGGGCGGCCGTACGGTTTGTTCTGCCTGGGAGTGAATGGCTTGGGTGCCTGACTGATAGGCGTGGTTGTCGGTTGGCGAAAGGACTGCCTACGAAAGTAAGGTGTGGTACGTTTGTCTGACCTTTTGTTCAAGTGTGCCATGACCTTCCGCTTGTCTTTGTTCTCTACAAGATAGGGGTCCAAGGCCTCCCCAAACAGACCGTTGCTTGAGTAAGGGGCGGTCGCTAGCCGCCACTTAGCCTTGGTGTCAGCTTGCCAGTGTTTTAGCCATAGCATTCTCCTGGCAATTATGTTGGATGCTATGGATCTGGATGAAAAAATGGCCGATTGGAACGTTGCGTCTGCAGCGTATTCCGTGGCTGCTACCATCTTAGCCAGGTCCTGGTGTGTTCGTATGTCCTCCATAGGAACTATGGTTTGTAGTTGTTGCAACCAGATGAGGGTGGCCCGGACAAAAAAGGAGGCCGAGGTGGCTGCTTTGATGGCCCATGCCGCTGTCTGGTGGGTTTTGCGAAAGGCTTGTTCCCACTTTTTGTCATCTGCCTTAAGGGCCTCCACTAGGTCCCCAGCCATGGCTGTCTGGGAGACCAAGGGGGTCCAGGCTTCATCTACTTTAGGAATTTCTAAGGCCTCATTGAGGTCTGTGGCAGTGCTGTATAATTTTTTGTCCGTACCACTCACTGATGGGAAGGAAGCGGGAGAGTCCCATGGCTTCTTGATCCCTTTCAGGAAAATGGCGGGGCAAGGTATATGGTGTTGCGTTGTCACCTTTTCTACGAATACGGGTCTGGATGTGGTGGCCGGTGTCGCTTGCGGCTGAGAAAACTGATCCGTCCCCATGTCCGCAATGGCTGTGGCCTTGCGTAGTATCGTGAGGAAGCGGTTGGGATTAAATAATCCCCCTGAGGGGGGCTCAGGGGGAAGTTCCTCATCCTCTGACATAGAGATCCCAGGTTGATCCTCCTCTTGTGGTGAAGAATAACCACTCATGGAGGACTGGGCCGGGGAGACGGGTTCCTGAATGCCTGAGGACTCTGAGGGGAGTTCCGAGTGTGGCATGGCTGAGATGGAGGGCCCCTGGTCGTGGTGGGCGGAGCGCTGTGCTAGGGCTCGGTCCACCACTTTGGTTAATAGGGCCTCTAGCCGTCCATCTGCCCAGATGTCCCCTATGTCATTACCTTTGGGTGTGGTGACCGCAGGTGGAGAGTTGGACTCAGTGGTTGTGCCTGCCGCCGTGGTTGTTTGTTGGGCTGATGTAGATGGCGGATCCAGTGGTTGCGGTGTTCCTGGAATGGACCACGCGCTCTGGGTTGATGTGGATGGACCCAATGGTAATTCCATCTCGGTGGCCGCTATTTGAACCAATTCCAATTGGGCCTGCCTCTGCGCTCTGGAGAACTCCTTCTCCAGGGCCTGGTGCCTACGGCTGGCTTGCTTTTCCGCCAACTTGGAGGGCCTCTTGAGCGAGTGTTTTGTCTTCGCTTTGCACTTGCCTGCCGCCTTCTGGTCAGAAGGTGTGTTGCAGCCGTAATTGGGAGATGGAGGGGTCGTGCTCATGGATTGAGGCAACGAGGGTCCCTCCATTCCGCTTGAGCAGTCCCAGAAAAACTGAGAAGACGCTCAGGCAGGCAAGTATTGGCGGGAGCGAAATTGGAACAAGTACCAGGACTGTTCCCCTGATCACCCGACCACAACAAAAATATTCTCTCTGGGCTAAGGTCACGGTAGCTGAGGGAGGTACCGAAGGCACGTTTGGAACCACTCTTTGGGTTCCGCCCGGAGGCCTTAGGTGACCAGGCAACGTGCACCAGTAGAAAAAGGAAAAGGGAGGCAAAAAATATCAGTGGCGACCTCAAAAGGGTCTGTAGGCCTGACTTAATACACAACAGGTATCAAATGGCGGTCACCTAGAGCGGAATTTATTCTTATTAATACTATTACTATTATACTAATAATAGGAACAACAATAATAAAATAATAATAATAATAACAACAACAATAATGGTGATGATGATAATATTGTGTGTTCTGCCTTTAGGCCTGTTGGCCCTGCAGTCGCTTAATTTTTAGCTTTAAAAAAAATAAATTTTTTAAATTATTATTATTATTATTTTTAAATTTTATGTATTTATTTTTATTATTATTATATTTTGTCCTATTATTATATGTGTGTATCGGGGGTGGAGTGCTGGCTGTGCGCTCCTATTCCGCCTCTATCAGTGATTCCAGATATGATGTGGAGCTTCCTTAAGCTCGGTTTGCCTTTCTCTGGCAAGAGATGGCAGCCGCAGCTCGTTTCTCCCTGAAAACGGGCTTTGCGGATCCCAGGAGGGTTCTCTAGCCTCCGTTTCTTGGTTGGGGCTTACTCCCTTCCTGTGCTTCGGCTTTTTAAAAAGGAGGGTGGCCGCGGCTCGTTTCCCTCTGAAAATAAGCTCCGCAGCCTCCCAGAAGCTGCTTGTGCCCGGGGATTTAAATTTGGCGCGCTGGTGACGTTTTAAGGGAATCCCAGTCAGGGATTGCCTTTGTTGCCTGAAAACGGCAACTAAAATGGCGCCCGCGGTTGCCCTGGGCTGCTAGGGAATCTCCGATGATCCGAATTCAAGTTTGAATCCGGACCTGGAGATTGTTATTTTTTCCCCCAATTTGAGGAAAAAATCCCTTGGAAGGTTGGGGAGAAAAGCTCAGCAAGTGGTCTCTGCTGATGCCTTCCCCCCCCCCTTTTCCACCTCCAGAGCCCTGGGGCTGGCTGGGATCCGTGGGGAGTTTCCCCCCCCACACCCCCTTTTTCAATTTTAATATAGGATCAGGGATGATCCCAAGGAAAACTTAGTGGTTGGGGAAAAGGTTCAGCAAGTAGTCTCTGCTGATGCCTTCTTCCCCCCCTTTCCACCCCCCAGAGCCCTGGGGCTGGCTGATATCTGTGGGGAAGTTTCCCTCCCCACCAATCCCCTTTTTAATTTTAGGTTTGAGATCAGGACTGATCCCCAGAAAATTTTGTGGTTAAATTCCTATAGGTGGCAAATTTTTTTGGAAGGGGAAGCCAATTATCAAGGGATAATCAATCAATGGATTTCTTGTCTAACCTGATAAGCTGAGAGCCACGCCAAAACGAGTCTTCTCGAGCAGAGACCAAGTTAAGAATGGACTCCACAGGAAGTGGGGGCGTGTCAAGCTTTGGCTACTTGGTCTCAAGAGCAGGCAGACAGAGAAAACCCATCTGTGGATTATCCATCTCCTGTACTGGAGAATGCTCTGATTATAGTGTATAAATAAGCATATTCTACTGTAACACTATATGCTATAGAAATACTATGAATATTGGTCAGTGCTTTACTGACCACTAGAGGACTCCCTTGTTACTCATTCTGTCTGGAATTCCCAGCATTTGCTACAGTATGGACATGAGGTGGCTTGCCAAATGAAATTCTTAAAAACTCAACATTTCCTCTCACAATACAGCATTGACAATAGTCCCAGAATGTTCATAATTTTGAAGCCAAACTGGAACATGCTGACCTCCTCCTCACAAACAGTGGAGAAAAATACTTCCTGCCATATTTAAGGAGGTTTGTGCCTAAAATGGAAATTACCATGCTTTCCTTTTCTTTTTGATAATTCAGGTTGTGCTCCACTAGCTTATACTTACGTTTTCAATGTGCCAGATGTCATAAGTTCCGTAACGAGAACAATACATTTCTTTCCCTTGACTGTAGATTCCCAGGAATCATAGAATCTAACAATATTAGGATGCTGGAGCCCTTTCAGCATTTCAGCTTCCTCCTTAAACCGTTGCCTTTCTGATTTGGACAGCTTCCGATCCTAAAAGAGAAAAACCAGCAAAAATGCTTTATAAAGAGTTACAAATGACTATTAAAACAATATCTGGCCTCAAATGTAAAATATTTAAGGATCAAGCTTACATCTTACAAGACATGAAAACTTGTTTTGGCTAATAGTCTCTCAATTTTTTGTGTAAATTATTGATTACCTTCATCTGCAATTTCCTGCACAAACTGCCGGACAGTAGTTGGTTTGGCTATTTCAGGAAGAATATATCATAAAATGGTAGGATGCATAAATGTTGATGCATTTATTTCTTTTGCTCCTAAAAAGCACAGTGCTCTAGATATTCTTTTTATATATGGCTTATGATTTAAAAGTTCCTCTATTTTAAAAAAATGGTAATTTCTTTCTAATTTTATAATCTCTTATCAGACAATCCAAAGTACTGAATAAAAAAGAGTGCTCCTGAATAAAAAAAAAAAGAGATCCATTTTCGAATAAATATACGAAGAATTTCTATATACTATTCTGTATTCTTGTATTAATTAATGCCCTCATTCTCAATTAATCTATTAGCAGTATTTGTCCCTTTAAGACATAAATAAAAATAAGAAAGCTAATAATCGTAAATATAGAAAAACACTGAAAACAGTACAGAAATCAGTACAGAGACACCTTCAGGCAAGAAGGGCAGTATATAAGTTTAATAAATAAATAAATTACATAAAACAAATACCAGATCTCCATGTGTCTATAAACTAAGACTATAGTAATTTGCCTTTATTGAAATGTCTTTTTAAAAAAAGATCTATGAATTTTAATAATATAATCCTATTGTTGTGTACTACTAATAAGTCCCTTTAAGTTTACTAAGGTTTATTCTCAAATAAGATTGTACAGGATAACTGAAATGTGTAAAATGAAGTTAGTTGACAATATTACGTTAATATTCTCTATTCTATTCTAGTAAATTTAAGATGTTAACTTATTTTACTGATTAAGGCAGCCATTGGATAATATACAGTATATGCCCCCAGAGTACCAACTTGGAAGAAGTGAGTTTGAGAACAATGGAAAAGGAAAAGCAAATACCAAGTTTTGTATTATGCAATGATTTTTCTAGTGGAAATTATTACAATACCTAGCAGATATAAACATGTAACTTCTTACTATGCAAACATATGCATTTTTCTTACTCCAAAGTAATTTCTCTGTAGAAAGAATCATATGGGAAACAGTCCTACAATCTGTACAAAAATGACATACTGAAAACACAACACTATGTCACCAGCCAAATAGTACATGAGAATGAAGTTAAAGTGGATGGTAAACCTTTCAAAATTTGAGCATTCAACTATTCAAGTATCACTTCTACGATCAATTACTCAGTTCAACTTCCTTTTGCTTCTCTGGTATGTATGTATAAAGCATGAATAAGAAAGTGTTGGCCGTGACTCTCCCACTTCCTGAGAAGGGGCGTTGTCTTACCTGAACGCCTTTTCTCAGCAGGATGATGTAGAGTCCAAATGGATGGGTTCTATGACGGCCTTCCTGCCTGGCAGACTGGGTAAAAACTTCGGCCACACCCCTTCCTTTGGGCGTGACCCCAGTTTTGACTTAGGCGAGAAACTTTGTTGGAATTAACATTGCAGCTCTTTATTATATCTTTATTATATCCCTGCCTAGACCTATCCTCTGGGTGGGCTTGGACTCTACATCATCCTGCTGAGAAAAGGCGTTCAGGTAAGACAACGCCCCTTCTCCAGCAGGATGACTGTAGAGTCCAAATGGATGGGACATACCAAAGCCCTCATGTCCCCCTGGGAGGGAATGTCTAGGCTACCGAACTCTGAGCAGATACGACCTGTTGAAGAACTCTTCTGCCAAAAGCCGCGTCTGCTGCTGCTAGGGAGTCTAAACGGTAATGTCGAATGAAAACCGAAGGTGAGGACCAGGTTGCGGCCCTGCAAATCTCTTCCACCGGAGCTTGCGTTAGCCACGCCGCAGATGTGGCTGCGCTCCGAGTTGAGTGGGCAGTCACCTGAGTGGGTGCTGGCAAATCCTGTGAGACGTAGGTCTGCGCTATGCAGGCTCTGATCCACCTGCCTATGGTGGAAGAAGATACCTTCTTTCCCATAGTTGATGGTTGAAAGGACACAAATAATGCTTCAGTCTTTCGGAAAGCCGAGGTGCGTTTCACGTAGAAACACAGTGCTCTCCGTACGTCTAGCTTGTGCCATCTGTGTTCTAGCCTATGTTTGGGTCTTGGACAGAAATCAGGAAGCGTAAGTTCCTGAGATCTGTGAAAGATGCTATTTACCTTCGGGATGAAGGTCGGGTCTGGTCTAAGAACGACCCTGTCTTTGAAAAAGGTACACAGATCCTTCCTTACTGACAGTGCTGCTAGTTCTGAGATTCTCCTTGCTGAAGTAATTGCCACAAGGAAAGCTACCTTCAGTGATAGGTGATGGAGTGAGCATGTTTCAAGAGGTTCGAAGGGTGCTGATGTCAAGGCTAGAAGGACCTTAGGCAGGTTCCAGGACGGGTACCTGTGTATGACTGGGGGCTTTGTGTTAGATGCCCCTTTTAAAAAGGCATTAATCGCTGGATGTTGTGCTAGGGAAGTTAAGTTGTCGCAGGAGAGTACAGTTGAGAGGGCCGATATCTGTCTGCGGATAGTATTGACTGACAGGCCCTTATTAAGACCCTCCAATAGGTAATCTAGGATATTGGGTATAGATACTGCGGTCGGGTCTAGGTGAAGCGAAGCGCACCACCTACAAAATCCCTTCCATGTAGCGTCGTAAATCCTATTAGTGGACGCTCTTCGTGATGCCTGTATGATCGATATCACCCCTGCAGAATAAGATTGTTTAGTTAAGCTTTGCCGCTCAAATGCCAAGCGGCTAGATGTAGCCACTGGGGGTCTGGGTGTACGAGCTTGCCCTGACTGAGTTTTACCCTGTCCGGGGGAATCCTCCACGGAGGTGATATCGAAAGGTCCACGAGGTCGGCAAACCACGGGCGCCGTGGCCAGTGAGGGGCAATGCAGACCATTTCTGCGCCCTCCACGATCATCTTGCGTATGGTTGCCGGTATTAGTGGCAGCGGTGGGAAGGCGTACAGGAGTTGCGCCGGCCACCGGCACCTGAGAGCATCCGTTCCCTCCGATCCCGGGGACGGGAATCTGGAGAAGAACCTGGGGAGTTGTGTGTTCTTGTGGTTGGCAAATAGATCTAGGTGCGGTTGTCCGAACCTCCGGGAGATCTCCTCGAAGAGAGCCGGGTCCAGACGCCATTCCGACTGGTCCACCTTGGCTCTGCTCAGGGAGTCTGCCTGGGTGTTTGTCTCCCCTGAGATGTGTTCCGCTCTGATGGAACTCACATTGGCTTCTGCCCACCGAGCCAGAGCCAATGCTTCTTTCATTAGTTCCACTGATCTCGTTCCTCCCTCCTTGTTTACATGTGCCTTGGCTGCTACGTTGTCTGTTAGTACGAGGACGTGCCTCCTCGTTACTAGGTGTGAGAAATGGCGGAGGGCCAGGTGTATGGCCCGGAGCTCTAGCCAGTTGATGCTGTGTGACAGGTCCTTCTGTCCCCACTGGCCCTGTGCTATCTGTGTTCCCAGGTGGGCTCCCCATCCGAACAGGCTCGCGTCTGTCGTGAGTGTGACCCTGTTCGGTTCCCTGAATATGCTCCCCTTGAGTGTCATGGGGGATAGCCACCATTTTAGTGATTTCATCACCTGTGCTGGTACCAGCACACTCCTGTTGGAGGTGCTGAGGTTCCTCCTCTGGTAGGGTAGGAGGAACCACTGCAACTCCCTCGAGTGGAGCCTTGCCCATGGGATGATGCCCATGCAAGATATCATCTTCCCCAGGAGCTTCGAGAGTTGTAGCAAGGGCACTCTCCTGATCTTTTGAATTTGGTGGATTAGCTTGGATATGCTGATCAGTCGCTCCTGGGAAAGGAATACCCTGCACTGTGACGTGTCTATCACCGCGCCCAGGTGTTGCAGTCTCCTTGAGGGAATGAGGTGGCTCTTGTTTAGATTGACCGAGAATCCGTGCCCCTGTAGGGTTCGGATTGTGGTCTTGAGATCTGCCCTTGCTTGTTCCCGAGATCTGGACTGGATCAAGATGTCGTCCAGATAAAACTGGACGCGAACCGGGATCAACCTGAGATGGGCCGCTAGTACAGCTAAGATCTTTGTGAATACCCTTGGTGCTGACGACAGTCCGAAGGGTAATGCCCTGTATTGGTAATGTCGCCCCGCGTAGGTAAATCTGAGGAATTTCCGGTAGCTGGGGTGGATGGGGATGTGTAGGTACGCCTCTGTGAGATCTATTGAGGATAGTAGATCGCCTTCCCTGACGCTGGCTAGTATGGACTTTAGGGAGTGCATCTTGAACCTCCTGTACTTTATGAAATAGTTCAGGCCCTTCAGGTCCAAGATTGCTCTCCACCCTCCTGATGTCTTTGGGATAACGAAGAGGATAGAATAAAATCCTCTTCCTTCCTCTTCCTTTGGTACCTTCTCTATGGCTTGAATTGACAGGAGGTGAGCTATGGCCGAAGTTATCAGCCTTTTCTTGTGTACTCTTCTGGAGATGGGACATCTGATGAACCGGTTTGGAGGGGGAGAACAGAAGTCTAAGGTCAGGCCATGCCTGATCGTTTCCAGGACCCAGGTGTCGGTGGTGGTCTGTTCCCAGACCTCGGTGAAATTTCCTAACCGACCCCCGATGGGTGTATCCTGTTTGGCGTCACTTGGTACGCTTAAAGGATCTGCCTCCCGCTCCTCTATATGGGCGTCTGGACTGGAACTGGCCCCTGGCTCCCTGGCTTTGGCGATCCTGGGTTCGATCCTGTCTCGGGTAGAAGGATCGTGAGCCTCTGGGCCAGTCCCAGGATTGCCCTGATCGAAAGGGCTGCCTCCATTCCCAGGGGCTTCCTGGGCGGGAGCCCTGCCTCCGGAAGTCCTGACTGCCTCTCCTGTCTAACTTCTTTGATGGATGTACTAGGATTTTTTTCTTG